CCTCATACTGCAAGAGCATGATGGAAAGCACACAGAGCATGCTTTTGCATTATACTGCATACATTTTTTATTTTTGTTTCTATTTAAACATTTGGCAAAGTAACACAGCAAATGCCCGCTGAGGTTCTCTGCGTTCTTCCCCATTCTGCTGTGCAGGACAGTATTTACAGTACATGTTGCTTAGTGTAAAAACTTGCAGTTTGCATTTAGATTCTGGATTTAGTGTCCTATTCGCAGCATTAATTATCTGTAAGATTATAAATAAACATTTTCTTTATAAATATAAAATTCTGTTACACACTAGACAAATTACCATCAATAAGCTTCCAAAAATGTATTTCAAAGACACTGCCTCAATACATTAAACAAAATAAAGCTTCTTTAAAACAGGCTTCTATGGGCAAGAAAAAGCTTATCATAAAAATATTTTATTGTGCTGTGGTTTATGGTGTTTTGGGAGAGACAAGGGAGGCATGAGAGAAATTGCAAGTGGGGATTTTGAACCATGAAATGATGCCATGAAAATTGATTGTGTTTGACGGAAATGAATATTGTTTCTCTAACATTCTGGAAATCGTTTTGTTGTTTACGGTTTTCGTTCCTTGAACTGTTCCGAATTTACCTGCAGCAATGTCTTATTAGTAATACACCATAATAATATCTTAATTACGGACAGATGGTGATGACAAGCCTGGTTTCTAAAACATGTCCCGAGACCCCGGCGATCTGTTCCACTGCACTGCTTAGCAAGAACACATCCAGCGTGTACCTTCCTCAAGGCACAACATAACACACAAGGATTGTCCAATTCCAGTACCAAAACGCAAACAAGCATTACAATATTTGAATTAACCTCATGAAAACAAGTTCTAGTCAAGTAAAAAAAAAAAAATATTACATTTCCACCCACTGCATTGCACCCAGATCTCTTACTTTGAGTTTGCTTGTAACACTCATTGTTGATGATTATAAGATTCCCATTATTGCAATAAAAATGTTGTGCCCCTATTATGGTTTTTACCTTTCATGCAGTGTGTAATAGAGCTGTTTGTGAATGTAAACGGTCTGCAAGTTGTAAAGTCGAAAGTGCACGATTAATAAAGTTATTGTCTACCAAAAGAAAGAATGGACTCTGAACCGCCAATACGAGTCGTCAGGAATGTCAGTGTCATTTCCGTGACCTGCATACGTAACGCGGTAACACATTAGCATAATGCTCGCCTATGGTCTTCCTTGGCTGCCCGCTAACAGCGTCTGCTTCGACTCTCAAACACCCCAGCTGGTTCATGTGTGTTCATGTCGAGAAGTTTTCATGTCGTGTTTTCTGCTCTGAAAAAGCCAATTCTCTTTGTAAACACTTCTAAAGGATGAGGATGTGAAGAGTCTGTGGTTGAAATGACCACAGCAATACAACAGCAGGATAACCTTCTGACGACTGCTTCTCAAATCTCTGTGAGGATCTAAATGAGATCTCTAATGAGCAGAGTAGACCAATCACAACAGACTGAGCCCTCTGACCAATAAGAGCAGCGTAGACAAATCAAATCAGACTGAACCATCTGACCAATCAGAGCAGAGTAGACCAATCACAACAGACTGAGCCATCAGACCAATCAGAGCAGAGTAGACCAATCACAACAGACTGGATCATCTGACCAATCAGAGCAGAGTAGACCAATCACAACAGACTGAGCCATCAGACCAATCAGAGCAGAGTAGACCAATCACAACAGACTGGATCATCTGACCAATCAGAGCAGAGTAGACCAATCACAACAGACTGGGTCATCTGACCAATCAGAGCAGAGTAGACCAATCACAACAGACTGGATCATCTGACCAATCAGAGCAGAGTAGACCAATCACAACAGACTGGGTCATCTGACCAATCAGAGCAGAGTAGACCAATCACAACAGACTGAGCCATCTGACCAATCAGAGCAGAGTAGACCAATCACAACAGACTGAGCCATCTGACCAATCAGAGAAGAGTAGACCAATCACAACAGACTGAGCCATCTGACCAATCAGAGCAGAGTAGACCAATCACAACAGACTGAGCCATCTGACCAATCAGAGCAGAGTAGACCAATCACAAAAGACTGGATCATCTGACCAATCAGAGCAGAGTAGACCAATCACAACAGACTGGGTCATCTGACCAATCAGAGCAGAGTAGACCAATCACAACAGACGGGGTCATCTGACCAATCAGAGCAGAGTAGACCAATCACAACAGACTGAGCCATCTGACCAATCAGAGAAGAGTTAGAAGGAACGCGTTACTGTAATCCAATTACTTTTTTCAAGTAACGAGTAAAGTAAGGGATTACAATTGCAAAAACAGTAATTAGATTACTGTTACTTCCCCGTAAGCAGGCTGCGTTACTGCGGTAGTTAACCGTCATTTTGTTTCGTGAGACTGGCTCGTGCCATGAGTCGTGCGTGAGTGACAATGATGTATGAGCGCCGCGACGTCAGTGGTATACACCGAAATGTGTAGTGTTGAACAAGAGACAACGTGGAGCGCAGGAGAGAGACACGCATTTGATTGGTCTCACACGCCACACCCCCGATTTCTCACGCTGAAGTGTCAACCCGGTCGGTCAAATGCCTGAAAGATGAGTTTATCTATAGATCTACCTGTTGAGCCACTCGTGATCGACTAGTTATACCGCAAATTAGTTCAAATCTCCCGGAATCTAGAGCGAGCGTGCACGCGAGACAGAGACCGCGTAGCGCACCCGCAGAGAGGGAGAGCGAGCGAGAGACCTTGCGTGTGCAGAGAGCATCCTGATCTAGAAACAGGACCCCCGTTGGAGAATGTCAAAATTCCACCTCAAATCTGAGCAAGCACCCGCAAGCCGGCACAGGAATGTGAAACTTACTGAAAAAAACCCTGAACCCCCAACTGACATGACATGGCTGTTTTGGTAAACTCATTTTTACTCCTCTCTGCACTTTACTGTTAAAAGACGTAAGTGTTAATAATTTGGAATACAGTCAGGAGAGACTTTCATTTTAATTATTTTATTGCTGTATTTTATTTAAATCTATTCGAATGAAGGATTTTACAAAAAAAATATTTATTTTATATGCTGGAATATGCAGAAATATAAGTTAACAGAAGAAGGACTTTCTTTATTTCATTAAAATATGGTGGAATGTGCAGAAAATAGGTTTAAATGTTCATCAAAAGTCTTTCATCAAAATTGTTGCTTGATACAATGTGCATAAAGTTAAAATATTGAAACTAATAAAACAAGTTAAAAAAAGAGTGTTTCATTTGATTGCATTTTAGATGATGGAATATGCAGAAAGAATAGAATTAGGCTGAAAGGTCTATTGCTTTATAGCGTATTCAGGTTGGGCATCATGTTTTTGAAAAGTAACTTAGTAAAGTAACTAGTAAAGTAACTAATTACTTTTGAAAATAAGTAATCAGTAAAGTAACTGGAATACTTTCTTGGAGAAGTAATCAGTAATCAGTAACTAATTACTATATCCACGTAACTTGACCAACACTGATCACAACAGACTGAGCCATCTGACCAATCAGAGCAGAGTAGACCAATCACAACAGACTAGGCCATCTGACCAATCAGAGCAGAGTAGACCAATCACAACAGACTGGGCCATCTGACCAATCAGAGCAGAGTAGACCAATCACAACAGACTGAGCCATCTGACCAATCAGACCAGAGTCGACCAATCACAACAGACTGGGCCATCTGACCAATCAGAGCAGAGTAGACCAATCACAACAGACTGGGTCATCTGACCAATCAGAGCAGAGTCGACCAATCACAACAGACTGGATCATCTGACCAATCAGAGCAGAGTAGACTAATCACAACAGACTGGGCCATCTGACCAATCAGAGCAGAGTAGACCAATCACAACAGACTGGGCCATCTGACCAATCAGAGCAGAGTAGACCAATCACAACAGACTGGGCCATCTGACCAATCAGAGCAGAGTAGACCAATCACAACAGACTGGATCATCTGACCAATAAGAGCAGAGTAGACCAATCACAACAGACTGGGCCATCTGACCAATCAGAGCAGAGTAGACCAATCACAACAGACTGGATCATCTGACCAATCAGAGCAGAGTAGACCAATCACAACAGACTGAGCCATCTGACCAATCAGAGCAGAGTAGACCAATCACAACAGACTGAGCCATCTGACCAATCAGAGCAGAGTAGGCTCACGGAAAGAAGGGGTTTAGAGAGACTGATTCATCCATTGAGTTGTTTGAGAGTCATTGAAAAAGTGTTGTAAGAGACTCCAAAACAAAATTAGGAACCTTTAAAATGGTATTATAGGGGCACTTCAAAATCAGCATAAATTAAAGGTTCTAAATCTAAATCTAAATATATTGTTATTTTAAATTTACAGTGTCGTGCATTTGTGGGTATTAGAAAAACATGCTCAATTCTCCTTATAAAAAACTCATTCTAATGCAAAATTTGTTGTTTTTTCTTTAGATTTGTGGAGTGAAATATAAGCTTCTTCACAGGATTTACACACGAAGAAACAAAAACAGTGTCTTTGTTTGTGCAGAAGGGTCAGCGCTCTCCCTCTGGATCGCCTGCATTGGAAAGATAAGCTCATTTGAGGACAGTAATGCCTGCGGTCTGGACAGATGGACAAGAGGAACGCTAGAGAACTCACACTCTATGAGAGAAATGTCAAGCCGCACATAATCAAAGTCACCAGTCTGTTCAGGAACGGGCCTCACAAATCACATTTTGGTGCATATTATGATCATAAAAGCGGCGACTTGAAAACTTTTTTTCGACTTGTGTGTGACTTTCATAATCGCTCGACACATCATCGAGACGGCACACATGAGGAATCCTCCAGAAACACGCGCGTGGCCTGGATGTGTCTGTCTCCGTGCGAGTTGTGGGAAGTTTGTACGGATGCGTTGGGATGTTTGGCATTGATTGGCGCGTAGTGAATGCAGTTGCCATGGCGACGGTGACTCACCCCTCGCCGCCGACTTTGGTGATCTTCAGTCTGAAATCGACAGAGTTGTGGCTGGGCGGCTTCCACTTCAGGATGTCATCACATCTGCCCGGCTTATATTTCTGCAGGGAAAACCACAGGCACAGACCAACTCACTTTAGGACACAAACCAAACAATGCAGTGGGGACAAAAACAGCACTCCTTTATGATCTAGAAAGAAAATTAATGTTACATATTATCAACAGCAGCGCATCACAAATTCCCTCCTGAAGAACAAAACAGACACATATTGTGACTTCATAACCAACATTTGTATCGGGTGAAACGGCCTCGGTTCAGTGTTCCCCTTCAGCTCGCGCTTCACTTGTCTCTTTACTGATTTTTATCAAGTAAATGTAAGAATTACTTTGATATTGTTAGTGATATTTCAATGTGAACACTTACTGGACTGAAGAAACTTATCATCCATGCATCATTTTTCAAAACAATTCTGATCAAATGTGATCCATCAGTGTTATGAGGAACGTTTATTTGTTCATCTCTCAGTCATCATTGTATTGCACTGCATTATGTTTCTCCCTCTCACAAAAAAGCAAAGAAAGACAAAACAACAGCACTTTGATCATAAACCATCTTACTAAGACATGTTATTGGCAGATACTTACATGTATATTATATAAATCTGCTATATTGTTATACAGATCTCGCAGATTTAGATGACAAGCATCAGAATATCATCTTTGCTCAGTTTTGGCCTCTGAATAAAACTTGTTTCGTCTCCTCCATATCCTACTGTACGAGCCATAAAAGCCTGATGTATCAACCATGATACGCAACAAAACACATATGCAAACTTGTCTACAGGTTCAATAAATTGTTCATTCCACTTGACTTGTTTAATTTTCTCACTATGATTTCATGTCAGGCATTAAAGGGTTAATGCAGATCTTCAACCAGACATTTCCGTTTAGTTTCATTTGGTGTGAAAAGGTCATTAAACCCACAAATCTAATGTAGGTAGCGGCACATGCATCTTTATATGTACATTATGTAGAATGTAATGCAGCGATGTGAAAAACACAGTTAGCTTTTTTTTTTTTCATAAATTTGTTTCACCCGGAAATGAAAATTCAGTTTTTCCCCCTCATGCCGTTCAAATGCTAACACAAATGAAGATATTTTTAACGAAACCTTAGATATTCAAGTCCCTCCATTGAAAGTCCATTTGTAACAACACGAGGGCGAGGGTGTTTGGGTGAACTACCTCTTTAAGAGATTCTGAAGAATGCCTCAGTTTTGTAACAGAGACAGTTATGTTATGGTGAGATATTCAATCATTTACACTGTTTATTGAGCATGTTCACTGCTCTGCTACAGTATTTTCTCTAGATTGGAGTTGTCTGGTGTAAGTGCGCTACACAAGTGTACAGAGGGTTAGTGCATCAGACATTGGACGTGATGTAAATGAGATGTGACGGGGTTAATAGAGCTCTAATCGCAGTAAAGCAGCAGTTCTGTCATGAGAAAGACTTGCTATCTGTACACTGGGCATGAGAATCTGCAACCAACATGTGAACGTGACAACCATCGCAAACACACACACACATATGCTGTCTATCAGTATAAATGGCTCTGTAAAGGAAAATTAAACCCTAATATAACTGCCTCAAAACACCAGCATTAGATCGTGGGGCTTTATATGACTTTATGGCTATGAATTAAGTGTTTTTGTGAACTCATTGAAAACAACAATTATTGAGATTATGCTTTTCTTTTAAGAAAGAGGCTAAATCATAACAAGACAACACGTCTTCCTAATATATAGTCATTGCTAGCTGTACTCAAAACAACTCTTGAGCTGTAGGTTTGAATCAGTCGACTGAACGCGCTATAAAAAAAACTGAATTCCGTCCAGTTATTATCTTTTTACTATACATTTAAAGCATTTATATTTCAGTGTCTTAAGCTAATGTTTTGTCTTTCAGCTACTCAATAATCCTGTACGTTCTGTCATTACAAACCCTTGAGATCAAACTCAAATAAATAGCTTTCCATTCACAAGGACCAGGCATCAGGAAGAGCTGGCTTTAATCCGGCCACCAGAACGCATTCACGTTTACATTTACATTTAAATTACAGTCCTTCATTTAGCAGATGCTATCTATCCAAAGACACGTACAGTGAGGTAAAGCTGCAAACACAAGAACTAAACAAGTTTTCCACTCACACTTCATATCAGGTGTCTTTAACTTTTCTGTACATTCATCAAAAACGTATCGTGCTCATATTGTATTGCGAAACACTTGTGCTGCTATTGAGGTGTGACACGAGTAAGCTTAGGCACAGGTTTGTTGGTATGGCTTGGTTTAAGTTTAAGTTTAAGTTTATGTTTAACTACATGTACTTACTATAGGGTTAGGGTAGAATTAGGGTTTGGTTGAGGTTTAGTTGCATGTAATTATGAATAATCTACTGTTATTACTATGGTAAGTACATGTAACAAGGACACTGTAAAATAAAGTGTTACCAGGGAAGGTCAATAGTGTAATTACAGATGTAATTCGCCTTTGGCTAAGCCACACCCTAGAATGTAGATTGACCAATCACAGCGCAGCCAAGAACGAGCTCCCACAGAGGTCCGACACTTTTTCACAGCGCTCCATTGACTTTAACCATAGACAGTAAAAGAAATGGACAGAGCCATCTCATTGGAACTCAGTTGAGACAGTTGAAGCCCACTTTTAGCGATTTTTGAGCACTTCCGTTCCTGACGCGCAGACTCAGACCGACTCAAACTAAGCTTGATGACGTGAGCAACCTGTCTGACAGACGTTACTCTTCTAGTAGCTGTGCGTGAAAACTGCCAACGTTAATCTTGCAGAGACGGGGAACTTGAGCAAAGAGTTCTTTGGCGTGAGTGAGCAGGAGTAAGTATTCTGTTGCTTTTATGGACTCATTATCTATGGGCTTCTCCCTTGACGGGACGTCCCCCGATTGCCTGCGAGCTTCTCCTCCTGTCTGTACGGTCATTTCTGTACAGCGCGACAGAGAGTCGAGTGGTTATGACGCAATCGTTAGCCTATTTTTACTAAATCTGTTTCTACGGGGCCATAGTGTAACATAGAAGGTAATGGAGCCCTTTATACATTGTCGTGTTTCTTTAGAAATAAATAATGGACAAATGGAGTCTTTAAACGCCTCAGATTTAAAGTTATTCGCTGTCAAAGTGACGCAAAAATGAATGGGAGTCAATGGAAATGCTAACGCAAGTGAAGTTCTGCTACAACATGGCGGCACCCGGCCGGCTTCAACTTCCGGTCGATGGATTACCCCCTTGACTTTAACACAGGCGTCTCATATTTTTGGTCTCGGCCGGCTATAGACCAATTTCCAGCCGACGTCACAGTTACGTCACGGCGCTAGCTGGTGGAAGAACAGAGGGAAAACTGGAGGCAGCAAATACAAACCAGCACAGATTCGGCTACAAAATAAGGATCTTAAATTATTCTTCTTATTATTAAATGTCATCTTGTTGTGTTGTTGGGTGCAAGAATCAATGAAAAATTAATATGCTTTATCTGCAATTTTTTATTTCTAGAAAATATTCACCTCATTAAAATTGCACCGTAATGTCACTCTTTACATTGTCGTCTTCTGGGCGCTGGAGGCAGAACTGCAGATCGTACCACACAAGTCTTGCACATCACCATTCAGCACATAGTTATAGGCATCTAAAGATTTATATGCCCTCCGTTTCTCTATCAGGTAGGTGTAGAAGTCAGGCCACTCAACCGGAGGTAGCATTAACGTTAATCCTGTCAGATCCTCAATGAGTGTACGGGTCGGCCAATCTGGTTCCGTCCGTTAAAATTAACTTTTGCAAATAACAATCGCGGTCCTGGACACTGAGTGACATTTGCAGATCAAGATAAAATCGGATTTCCTCCAGTCATTGTTAAAAACAAGCTAACAAAACTTGCAGACTTTACGTTAGTGAAGCGGCCAGAGGGATCGTTCTGCCTCCACCTAAGCTCCGCCCACAAAAAAACGTCACCATGTTTACCAACTGAAAATTGGTCTATTACCGTCGTAGTTTTATCAAAAATATGGTTAAACGTTGTGCCTGGGGCATTTGTAACACAGATACGCGTTTCCCAGAGGTTGGAGGGGGGTGTCCATTTTTTTCCCTTCCCAAAACCGAAGTCAAATCCTGACAAGTGTCGTCTAGCACACGCTGCTAATAAATACAGCGTTATACTCGCGTAGTCCGTTTGCTTTGTAATAACGATTATAAAAGTGAATAGAGACCTCCAGCTTTGCATGAACAGTGTTGCTCCGTGATATTGTGAGTCCCAGCCTCCGTCTCCATTAGTAGGATATGCCGTGGGTCATTTGTTGACTGTGACCGGTGTGCTTTTGCCTCTGTTTGGATGCCTTGTTGTTCCTTGCGTTTCACCTGTATGTCGTGAATATAGCCTTCAAACGTATATTGCAGCCCCTTTTGCCTACTTCTATCGGACACTTTATTTGCTGCTTTATAAAAGTTTGATCAAATTTTAGCAGGAAGAGCTGTCACAGCATAAGCCATGTTGATACCAGAGCCCAGATGAAGTTTGTTTGTCGGACGTAGCAACAGTAACTAAGGGGGGCGGGGCTTAGCCAAAGGCGAATTACAGAAATTATTTACAGCTGTAATTACATGCAAGTATTTTTTTTTTTTTTTTAATGCAAGTACAATGTAAAACCATGTATGTGCATGTATATTTGGCATGTGACTTTGAGAACATTCATTATACATTCATGTCGACGTTCTGGACGTGATGAATCAAATCTGGAGAAGCCGAAGAGTGGGAAGACAGAAATGAGGCGTTGTAACAGATGCGCTGCCAGGGAACACGCTTCGAGCCAGCAGGACCGCTACATGTGAAAGGCTCAGCGAAAGATTGGGGATGAAAGTACAGTTGTTACGGGTCAGAGTATCTAAACCACCTTCTCACTTTCCCACTGCAATAATCAAAGCTGTTTCCCAGCGGCGACACTAATGATGAAGAGAGGATACAAACACCAGTTCATGACCTGTGAGAGCATCGGCTCAGGACAATAAAACCACATCGCCAACCA